GATGATTATAATAAACATTTATTTTTTTTTCACCAAATTTATTGATTTTTTTTTACTATAGTTTTTATTTAAATTTTTTAATATTATTATTTTATTATTATAAGTTTTTATATTATAATATTTTATTAAATATAAATTTTTTTAATATGTTTATTCATTTTATGATTAATGTATTATTATATAATTATTAATATAAATTTATGTAGCTTTTATTTTAATATATATTTTAATTTATCATAATTAAATTATTTAAATATTAGATTTATTTAAATATATAAATTTTATTTTTTTATTTTTATAAATATAAATTTTAAATATATTAAATAAATAATTGAATATTCAATTTTTTTCTAAATATATTATTCTAAAAAAAATTATAAATATTAAATAATATTTAATTAATAGTTAAATAACCGATATCCTTATTAAAAAAATACTTTTACCTATTTTTTGAATTAATAAATTTGAAAAATATATTATCTAAATCAAGAAAATATTATAAATTATTATAGAATAAATAATAATAAAATAATGAAAAAAAAAATATTAATTAAAAATGATGTATAAAGAATATTGTTTAAAAAAATAAATTAATAATAAATAATGTAAATAAAAAATTTATTATTTTCTTTAAAAATTTAAAAATACTATATTTCCAAAACATATTTAGAAAATAATAAAATACTATATATAATCATTACAAATAAAAAATTAATTAATATATGTAAAAAAAAAATTCGAAAATATTAAAAATAAATATAAATATATATCTATAATATATATATAATATTATATATATACAAATATACATAAATTATATATGCATGAAAAATCTTATTTTAATAAATATATATTCAAACGCATTATTTAAAATTTTAAACAATACATAAAAATATATAATAATGATTTTAATTTAAATATTAAAACTTTATTTTTAAATTTATCAATTATAAAATGAATATTATTATTATTTAGTTTCTATATAATTTTTTTATCTTGCATAATATCCTAATCCCGCAAAAATAAATATTGTTAAAACTAAAAACATAATTATTGTAGATAAAGACTCTACTAAAGTTGTAAGAGGATATGCATAAACATTAGTAACCATTAATAGAATTATCAAAATAAATAAATTATAATTCATAATATTTATTTTTATTTCGTTTAAGTTTTAAAAAAATATTATATTATTTTTAAATTAAAAATTATTAAATAAAAAAAAAAATATAATTTATTAAATTTATAATTAAAAATAATAATAATAAAATATAAAATATTAATATAAATAAAATATTTTATAAATATATGAATTTAGATAAAAAAACATTTTTTATTTATAATCAATCAGCTTATTCATCATCATCAATCATTTCCAAAGCTTATCTTTCAGATTATTCCTAATAATTATTATAAATATTATATATATATAAATAATATATATATATATATATATATATATATATATATATATATTTTAAAAAAAAAAATATTAACCCTTAAATCTTTAGGTATCAATTTATGTTAGAAATTGCTTTCTTAACAAATCCAACTAATTTCATATAAATATTTTTTTTCTTTAACATCTTCATGTGTTAGATTTAATCTATTTATTTTTTATAAAATAATATATGTTTATTATTATAATATATTTAATTTATACATTTTTAATATATAAGGCATTGCTTATCTACATGTTAATGTAGAGAAATTTCTTTTTTCAAATTCAGCTTTTGCAGTTTATTTTCCTTTTCCTTAAGCGCATGCATGATAAGCCTTTTTAAAATATATAATTATTTTTATATTAATAAATACAATATAAATATTTATAAATATATTTATTTATTTATTTTTATTACATAATTTAAACCAGAAGGATCGCTCATGTGTAATTAAAATCCATCTATATGATCATATGAAGATACAATAACAGCAGTTCCAAAAGGTCTATAATATCCATAAAGTGTATGTGCATGAATATATTAACTAATTCTATCAGCAAGTATCTTATAATTATAATATTTATTTGTTTATAAATTAAAAATAGTAAAATACTTTTCCTGAAATCGGAACTTCAAAATATTTTTAATATTCCTAAGCTTCTTTTCTTGCTCTACTTACACAATTTCTTCCATCTGGAATTCTACCTCCAATTACCTTATTTTATAATTTATTTTAAAATTTAAATATATGTATTAATTATTACCATTCCAATACTATTTTCAATGTTATATACTCTTTTATTTGTATCTTCGACTAATAAATTTGTAAATAATTGCTTTTCAGCCCCTAAAATTACTCCATCAGAACATTTTACTCCAATAATAGTTCTAGTTTATTTTTTTATATAAATTTTTATTTTCTATAAGTATTTTTTTATGATTATAAGTACTCGCTTTAATCTACTGCTGTTTAAGCATATGTAACTTAAAGAATTCTACCGTCTTAATTAAAGGTAGTAACTGATAAATCAAACTTTAATAGAAATAATTATTATTATATTTTATATATATTTTTTTACCATATTACTCATTTTTTTTGTTATTGAATAAATAATTATTTTTTAAAATAATATTTTAATTATATCTTTTTTTTTGATTAATTATTATGCTAATTAAGATCAGATAAATAAAATAATAATAAAAAAAAAATTATAAAACATATATATATATATATATATATATATATATATATATATATATATTTGTATATATTATTTTATTTTATTTTATTTTATTTATATGATTATTTTATAATAAAATTTAATTTATTTTTTAAATACTTTGATAAACTCAAATAAATTATTATTATTTTCTTAAATTAAATTTATAGAATATAAGAATTTTGTTATAAAATTTAATTTTTATATAATTTAGTTTAATTTAAAAATATATTTATTATACAAATATTAAAAAAGTTAAATATCTTTATTTTTTTTCATAAAAAAATATTTGTTAAATTCTATATTCGAATTCATATTATTTACATTTTTTTGATAAATATCATGCATAACAATAAAAATAATATAATAATAAATTAGTAAAAAAAAAACACAAATTTTTCAAATAATATATATTTTTAATGTTATTAAATATCGAAAAATAACTAAAAATAATTAACAATTACAAAAATTTAATTTTCTACTTTTAAAAAATATATGTATAAAAATATCATTTAAATTATTTTTTTATTAAAGATTTCGAATTATCATTTGTAAACTAAATCAAAAATTTAATCAGTAAAAGCTTTTCTTATTAATTTTAATACTATAATAAATATATATGTATATTAAATAAAATAATTACTTTTTATTTAATATAATATTAATTAATTATAACATATTACTACTATAATATGGCAATTTTAAAACTTTATGCAATAGAAAGCAAGGCCTTAAAAACCAAATTTTAGCGTTTTTTCCATTAAATCCACTTTGAAAATTATTTTCCGAAGAACTTTCATGCGACATAAAATAAAAGTACATTATATACTTTTAATTTATTATTTACAAATCTACAATTATTTATATATGTAATAAATTCACAAATTATATAATTAATATATTTATTTAATAATATTTTTAAGGTTTAATATCTTAAAATATTAAGACTGTGAACTATAATTTATTTCCTAAAAATAAAAAATTATCTCATTTTTATTTTTTACTATTTTCAAAACATTTTCAATGTGTTTTGCTAAATTTAGGAATTTTTATATGATAAAGTTAATTTTATTTAAAAAAATATTAAACAAGTCTCCTGTTTTAAATAATAATATATTTACTTTTATAATAACAAAATATTTAGATTATTGAATATTTTCATTATTTATATTAAAATAACAATATTAATATGTTTTAATAAAAGAAAGCGAAAAAAAAAAATATTAAATGAATTATTTTAATATTATGATATATATTATATTTTAAAAATAATATTGAAACATTATATAGATTAAATAAATAAAAACATTTTTTTCTTAATTTTGTTTAAAATTTAATTAATTATTAATTCAAATCAATTTTTATATTTAATTTGAAAATAATTAAAGAAAAAATATAATATTATAAAATAAAATAAAGATATTTTAACAGCTATCAAAACAAATGAATTATTTAAAAACTTTTTATACATCTAAAATACTATAAAAAAATATATCGAAATACTAAAAATTTTACATATAAGGAATATTAAAAGCAATGCATGCCTTAAATTTTTCAAATAATCCATATATTAATAAATGAAGTTAATCTAAAAACTTATAATTATAAAAAAATGATTAACAAACATTTTAAAATTGATTAAAAACTACAAAATAAATTACATAATTATTAAATATGCAAAGTCTAAAAATTATAAACTATGAAAATACATAATTTTTATATTCAAATATAAATATATTTAAAATACAAAAACTTTAAAGCCTAAAAAAAACATAAAAAATAAATTAAAATATATATAAAAAATTTTAATTTAGAATAAATGACAATTTATTAAATTATTAAAGAATGCAAAATAATATTTGTTGTCTAAAAAAGAAATTATTATAAATGATTAAAAAGAAAAATAAAGCTAAAATTAAAATAAGAAAGTAAAAATATATTAAAGTGATTTCTATATATATAATTTTTTAAAATTAAAATTATTCTATTTTTTTGTTTTTAAAAAAATTGCGTTTTTAAATTTGTTGAGAATGTTTATTATTAAATTTATGGGAAAAAATATAAAGTCTAAAAATATTTAAAAAAATTAATTATAAGAAATTAATAATTTATTAGATAAAAATGTTAATTAAATAAAAATAAAATAAAATTATATATATAATAATTAATATAAATTAATTATAAAAAATATCGAAATTATAAATAGATAAAAAATAATAAATATTTTATTAAATACATAATAAAAAATAACTAAAATAAAAACAAATTAATGTAGTTATCTTTATTATTTGTTGTTATTAAATTTTTAAAAATGTAAATATTTTAAATATAAAATAAATTATTATTTAATAAAATCAAAGTTAAATATGTAGCTATTAATTATTAATAAACATAATTTTATAAATTAATAAATATAAATATATATATAATTAAAAAATATTAAATATATATTAATAAAATATATATCTAAATAAATATATTAATATAAAATTTAATTAAATAAAATAAAAAATAAAATTATTATCAATTTGCTTTTTCAACTAATCCTAATTAATCTATATATTCATATTCTTTTTTAAGCAATCCGTTTCTAATTTTTTCCAAAAATAATGCAAAGCTTTAATTTAATTCTTCCATAACTCCCTCATCATTATTCCAAGAAACAGTTTTTCCTGAAGTTCCTAAATTTAAAAAAATATATAAATATAAATATTATATATATATATATATTACCATCTTAATTACATTCAATTAATAAATAATTTTAATCATTATCTGATGCTATTGTTAGATAATTTTTTTTCCAAAAAGCTGAGACTGCATTAATTTCATTAATCTCGATAATATTTTCAATAGAAAGTGATTTAAAAGAATCATGTAATTAAAAGCCTCCGTTTTAAAATTTTAAGAAATGGATAAAATCTTCTGGAATTTACAAATTTACTTTTTCTTTTAAATCATCTATTTATTTATCGGTTGCTTTTTAACTTTTTTCCATTTCCTAAAAAACTTAATTAGCATTTTATTAAAACCATGATTTTATATCTTTTAATGACTATTCTACTTCTTCTAGCGTAATAGTATCTTTATTTATATTTTTTATATTTTTTTCTCAAGACAAAAAATAATGTACTTCCTCTTGGGTTATTTTTTTAAATTTATTAAAATTTTGATTATTATTCCATATTATTCTTTTAAGAAAAATAAAAAAATAGTTAATTATTTAATATATATTTTATTAATATATTAATATTAATAAAATCAAAACAAAAATTAAATAACTAAAAAGAAAAAAAGAAATAAATAGAATAATAAATAAAAAATATGAATAAAAATCAAAAACTACTAGCAAGTGGAACCTCAGGAAAAATATATATATAAAACGAAGAAATAATAATTAAAAAATATATAAACGAATCCCATTATTTTAACGAAAAAGATATTTTAATAAAAATAAGTTCTAGTTAAAAATATTTTCCATAAGTTTATTCTTTTAAAGATTAAGAAAAAGAAATATATATGGAATATTTAAAAGGAGGCGATTTATTAGATTTTTTAATTAAAATGGGACCTTTTTCAGAACTTGAAGCGTTTGGTTTTTTCAAATAAATATTTTTTGCTTTAAAAAATCTAAAGAGAGAATTTTAAATCTGCCATAGAGATCTTAAACTTGAAAATATTGTTTTAAAAGAAGATTTTTCTCATGTCAAAATTATTGATTTTGCTTTTGCAACTTAAAATTAAATTTTTTATAATACAATAGTAGGTACCTAAGGATTCAAGCCTCCTGAAATGCTAAAAAAAGGAAAATTTGACGGATTTTAGGCAGATGTATTTGCTCTAGGAGTGATTTTGTTTGAACTTATTCACGGAAAGTAACCATTTATAGAAGCTGATGAGGAAAAATGTGAATTCTATAGACTATATAAGGAAAATAGGAGAGAGTTTTGGAAACTTTTTGAAGGACTAAATGGTGAAAAGAGTATAGCAGTAAAAAATTTAATAGAAAAAATGTTAGAAGAAGATGAAAATTAACGCATAAATTTAGAATAAATATAAAAAACTGAATGGTTTTTATTAAATAAAGAAAAAGAGAAATTTGAAAGGAAAAAGATATGGAAAAATAAAAAAAATTAAATAAAAAAAAAAGAATCCTGGACAGAAAAACTAGAGGTTTCTCAAATTTAAAGATTATAAAGAAAAAACTAAGGAAATTTTTTCGAAATAATTAGAAATTTCTAAGATTCTTAATATTAAAATTTAATAATTTTTTCTGTTTTGAAACTTTTTATGAGACCAGTGAGTAGTTTAAGTAATATAAGGAAAAAATATGGATAAAAAGAACTTGATTTGTATAAATATGTGAACTTGGAAGATGTTTTTAAAGCTGAAAATTACTTTTAGTATTGATTTTTTTCATTTTTCATTTATAATTTTTTTTTTATTTAGTTTCAATATATTTTTATTATATTTATACGTTTTAGAAAATAAATTAGTTACAAGAATTATTTTAATGCTTTAATAATATTTAATTAATATATAATATATAAATTATACAAATTTAGACTTATTTGTATCTAAAATATATATTTTTTTAAATTATTTAATATATATATAAAAAAGAGAGAAACTAAAATTATAATATACAAAAATAAATATATTAAAAAATTTTAATAAGATGAAAATAAAAAAGCATAATAATATAAAAAAATAAAATTTAATACTATAAACTTTATAATGAAAAAGATGATGTTTTAAATAAATTTTAATTTTATTTTTAATAAAATGATTATTAAATTTAAAAAATTATAACTAAAATTTAAATATATAAAAGATAAAAATAAATAAAAAAATAAATAAGATAAGATAAA